TACAAGAATGCTGGAAAAGCGGCACTGGAAAACAAAAGTCATGCCTAAGAAAACCCCTTTACAGATTAATTTAATCCTTCCAGACTTTGCAAGTTTGGTCGTAAACTTGTGTTCACAACTTTTTTTTTGCTTTAATATTAGATTGAACCAGAAATTTATTAAAATCTTAACTTCCAGGGCTTATGTTTAACTCATTACTCACAGCAGTTGCTGTGCAGGCACTGCATCCGGTGTCAGTTATTAAGAGCAATGCATTATCATGCTGTAAAAGCTGAATTGAATTTTATGGGGAAAAAAAATTCCTCAGCCCAGAAGAGAGTGTGTTGATTTATTAGGTTTATTCTTGTCTGTAAAACCGTCTTTGAAAGAAGATAATTTAACTCCATTATAAAGATTTTGAGGCTGGAACATTTTACATGTTGTGAATGTGAAAATGTAAACACAGAAACCTATTTAAATGAGGTTGGGAGTCTAGAAGAGTTTTCAAGCACAATCAACAAACTATAGGACCCAACACACCTTGTATCACCAAGGAGAGGTGATGTTGCTTCCCAGGCCAAGCAGATGGAAGGAGGTGCCTCTTTGCCAGGCAACAGCTCAACGGGTGAGGGGGTGCCATAACCCTGCGAATGAGATGCCACTACACATCTGTAAGGCAACCAACCCATTCCGGGCAGGTTTATGAACGGTTCTAGCAGCCGTACGCTCTTCGCCATCGTTTGCAGTCGCTGTACTCCTCCGGACACTCCACTCCTCCACCCTCGACACCGCGCTCTGCTGCGCCACCCTTATAAACCAGTCTCTTAGCTCAGGTGGACCTGCCTATGCACGCCCACACCCTACTCCAGGGGGCGCCATCAGGCATGCACTCAGGACCCCAGGGGTCTGTCATCCAGCCTGATGGCGGCCCCTGGAGTAGGTTGTGGGCATAGGTAGACGGGATTCACCTGGGCTAAGACTGGGCTTTTAAGGGAGGTGTCACAGGGAGACCAGAAGCAGCAGAACAGAAGCTGAGAGAGAGAGAGAGAGAAGGCCGGAGAGCCCAGACAGTGAAAACTTGCTGGCGGCTGGGAGCCTGCCAGCCTCCCGGCCCCCCAGCACCCCTGCCTGCCGAGTTCCGGGTAAACACCAATAAAAGCCTGCAAAAAGCCACTGACTCCTCCTTTACCCGGTCTGCTGGACCCTAGAAAACCTGTCCCGTGTCCGTTCCCGCCCCTACACATACAAAGATCCTTTTGGAAAGCATGTTAGGAAAGGAGTCAGAAAACTACAGGCTATGGCCTCAACCGGTCTGTCACATTGTTACTAATCACGTGTGTAGGGTAAGTGATGATCAGGCTTTTCTACCCTCCTGCCATTGGCACTGATGATAGATCCCTGCGGTCCTGAATGCATGCCTGATGGCGGGCACCTGGAGTGGGGTGCGGGCAAACGCAGGTGGGTTCACCTGGGCTGAGACTGGCTTATCAGGGCGGTGTCGGGGAAATGGAACCAGCGGAAGAGCGAGAACAAGACCACGAGAGAACGCCAGAGAGCACAGAAAAGACTGAAGATTCACGGGGGGGCTAGGAGACCTCCAGCCTCCCGTCCCCCGGCACCCCTGCCTGCCCTGTAACTGGTAAAATTCCAATAAAAGCCCCCCCAAAACACGGAGGACTCCAAGACTCTCCTTTACCCGTCTGCCAGGATCATAGACATCCTGCTCTGTGCCTTCCTGCCCGTACAACGTGTTATTGGAACATACTGCTTGTTCACTATATATTGCCCATGGCTTCTTTCCTGCTGCAGGAGCAGAGCTAAGCACAGCCAACACAGAGCTGTGTGCTGCCCACAGGCCTGGAGTATTTACTGTCTGGTCCTGTACAGAAAAAGCGTGCTAACTGTTGGTCTAGGATAACGTGCCCCAACAAGATAAGTAAATCTAGGATTCCTTAAGGAAAGGGAAGTTAGGGTGAAAAATAAGGTAGTAGGGTTTACTACTTCAACAAGCTAACCTGTATGTCGAACCATCCAGCACTGAAGTGTTTCATGGGATGACCACACAAGTCATGGAAGGGGCAGAGGAGGCAGCATCTGCCGAAATGCTTGGTTTGTCCCAGGCAGCATTGTGGCTCAGGGGCTTTGGGTTCGCACTGCCTAATGGCATCAGGTCTAAGGAAACAACATCTCTGTTACAGACACACGTGACAGTTGAGCAGGGCTGCGCTCAGGCCCCCACAGCACTGCCTTACTGCTAACAGGTGACGCCTGAGGCTGACCGTGCTGTTGTGCCATGATGCCTGAGCAAGGGAAGGTGCACAGGTGGGCGCACAGCTGTATTTTTCTTGAGAAAGGGTCGACTTTTTCTCACAGGAACTTGCCACGTAAGGCTAGCAACTGACTTTTCACATGGGAGTAACTGAGCTATGGACAGACTTATAAATGATGACGGGTGAAGGTAAGTAGATGTGGGCTGTTGGCAAATTAGTGGTAACTACCAGCACCATAAATAGACCAGCAGAAGACAAACCTATCATCCAATGGGGGACAGAAAAGGAGAGGGCTAAGAAAAGCAGTAAACAGAGATCTGAGGTACTCTGCCAGAAATAAATCCCAATTCATAGTAATTACAGTAAATTCCTATCATATATATATATAAAAACACTATGCAACAGACACAGATGCTCAGATTGCGTTTTAAAATGGTGATAGCCAAGCTAATGAAAGGACCTTGTCTTCAGGAAAACACAGATAAAGCATGCCGATTGTCAAGTGAGTTAATATTGGGCTTTTTATTTTCCTGTATTGGGTTAATTATTCAGAAAACAGCAATATCCAGCGTCCTGGGATCTGCTTTGAAAGTCTTCCTAAGTTTAATTGCAGTTAACAATCTGTTCTCTCAGTGACTCTGCTTAGAAAATCTTTCTTTTTTTTAGGTTTCAACCAGGTGACTATTTTTCCTCCAACTTTATTGAGATATAATGTAGGGTGTACAAAGTTGAAAAGTCTTAATAAAGCTTAGTAATAAAAAGGAAAACCCTTAGGATAATTTTTAAGAGAATCCTTTATATTTTACATGGAAAAATTTCTGCCGTACAAAAAGTAAAAGGAAAACTTCCAAAACATTGTAATTTTGGAAATGGAATTTAGATTCAGTTGCTCTGAACCAAATTTGTCATAAAAGAGTTGTCAGCTGTGACAGACACAAGGATGATTACATTGTGTAGAGTCACAGGGAAATTCAGTCTCACAATCTGCAGGAAAAGTTGACTGGATGATTACAGAAAAGCTACCATTCAGTGAGTGCATTCCATGCCTTCTTATTTAAAGAGCTGGCAGAGAAATTTCTTCTATAAACTTGATTCTGTTCTAGGTAACGTTTTGTCCTTAGGCTGCAAACTACTGAGTAGCAGGGCGTTTTCTTCCAGACAGCAGGCACCGAAACCTTCCCCTTTCCATAATTAAAAACCACACACAAAAGCCATGAGAACACAAAATGGGCAGTTGTGATTGAAGAATAATTACCAATTTCCAGTAACAACAGCTTCCAGCCCCAAATATATCTCAGTGCCAAGAAGGCAAAGTCACACCCGGTTCTCGCGGGGCGAGGCGGCCGGGAAGGGGCGCCCACGGAGACGGCGGGCCGCGCGGCGGGCGGGCCCCTTCCCGGGCGGGGGGCCGACTCGGGGAACAGCACCGTCAGCAGGGGCCTCGGGGGCTCCGTTCCTCCGCACGTGGCCCCCCCAGCCAGCACTCAAACCTTGGGGTACCCGGTGCGCCGGCAGGTGCAGCCGGGGAGGGGGCCTAGTGCGCGGCGCCACGAGGCGCGCTTTCTCGCTCCAGAAGCACCGCGCCCCCCCCCCCCCCCCCAGTGTGCCCACACCCCACTGCCAAGGAAGAGCCACGCTAGCTTCTCCCGCTCTCTGACGCACAGCGCCTACGGAACCTTCTGGAAGTCAAAATGGCGCGAAACAAAGCCGCAGCGGGCGTCCACTCACACCGAGCCTCGTTGAGTTCCCGGAAGCCCGCGCGCACTGTCGCAAAGAGCACGCGCCGCCAAGCGCCGCCCTCTGTCGTGAAAGCGGGCGTTGCCCGGGGAGCAGCGATGGTTGCCGGGGTGGCGTGGGCGTTGCCTGGCAACGGCGCTGCCGGGGATGGCGGGAGCACCACGAGGCCCGACGCCGCCACCGTGAAAAGCGGGAGACGCTGCGCGTGCGACGCCGCAGCGCGGGAGCCCCTGGCGGCGCGTGCGGCCGCACCTGCGCCTGAGGTGAGCCTGAGGGGGCGCGGGGCGCGGGTCTTCGCTGGGGGGGGGTGTCGCGGGCTCATGGGTGGGGCGCGGGCCTCCCCGAGGACACCGAGCCCCTCGCCCCGCCCGGAGAGCGGCCGCCCCCCACGGCCGCGCGCGGCCCCCGCAGACACCCGGCGCGGGGCTTGTCGTCGGAAAGACGTTTCTGGAAAACCCACCCCATGAGGCGTGTTGTGGTGCGGGTGAGGCCCCCGGCGGCGGGGCGGGGCGGGGGCGCGGCGCCCCGGGATGGGGAAGGCCTCAGCCCGAGGGTCCCCGCGCGGGCGGGAGAGCGGCGCCCCGCGCCTCGGGGGCTGGAGCGTCGGCCGCAGCGGCGGGAACGGCCGTGCGGGCTTCTGGGATTCGAGGCGCCCCGGCGCCCTCGGTGGCTTCTTAGGCTTTTCCGGGGGGCTGCCGGGCACGCGGCGGGCAGGGTGCGGGGGCGGGCAGGCTCCCGGCCCGACCCCCGCCCGGGCTCCGCCGCTGCCCTGGCGTCTCCGCTGCTCCGCGCCCCCCGCTGCTCTCCTGGCGCCCCCCCGCCCGCCCCGGTGCCCTCGGCCCTTGGCAGCCTCCTCGCCCTGAGGGCGGAGGGCGGGGAGCCTGGTGCTGCGCATTTACCCTGCAGGGCCCAGGCGGCTGAGCGGAGCGGACCGCGGGGGGTGGGGGGTGGGGGTGGGGGGGTGGGGGGTGGGGGGTGGGGGTGGGGGGGTGGGGGAGAGCCGGCGGCACTTACCGCTCCTCGAGTCTGGGGCGCCCAGGAGGAGGAGAAACCGACCGGCTCGCGCGTTCCCACTGGGAACGAGCATTTTCAATCCTCTCAGGACTCCGCGGAGCCCGCAGTGGTTGCCTTCTAGGTGGACCGATGGTCGTTACGCGCCAGTGGTGTGCAGTGGATGGCTGGTTCTTAGGGTGGTTGTGAGCTTCGCGTCAGCCGCGCTGAGGCCCAGAGACCGTCACAGTCGCCAGCGACAGTCTTGACAACTTGAGGCCGCACACGGGGCAAATGACAAACGTCCTGGTGTTACTGTAGAACAAACGGGCACACATGTAGTGGCTTCAGACCAACACGTTTGTGGTTCCACAGGTCTGCAGCGCGTGGGCTGCGGCAGAATTAACCGGGCCAAAATGGAGGTGCTGGCAGGGCGCGCAGAGAGAAGCTATTTCTTGGCCTTTTCCAGCCTGTAGCGTCACCTGAGTGTCTGACTTGTGCCCCCCTTCTTCCATCTTCAAAGCTGTGGATGGTGGGGACCCACTTCGTCACCCTGACATCTACACCCCCCCTTTTCACAAACTTGAGAATTGCAGTGATGACACACCTGGGTAGTCGTGCTGCCCCTCCACTATAAGGTCGGCTCACTAGTCGGCGTGATTCCACCTGGAAGCGCCAACCCCCTTGTCATGTTACAAAACAGAAGCACGGATTTTGGACATTAGGAAGTTAACATTTTTTTAGGGGTCATTATTCTGCCTACCCACCTAGCAAATGTGATTCGCCAGTGTTTGGAGTTTAATCCCATCAAGGCCACCACACTTCCATGTTTCAAAGAACTCTCCATGGAGAGTTCTTGACCTGAGTACAAGTTCAAAATGTGACCTGAAAGCAGCTTTGTCTTTTTTGTTTTTTCTTCTTTCCTTAGTTTTTTACATTGTTGTTCATATTTTTACAGTTTAGACTTCTCCCCTCAGGTGTAGGCCCCGTAAATCGCCCACCACCACATCCCCTATCAGCCGTCACCTTTGCCCCTTGTGCTCTTCCCTCCTGTTTTGATCCCTTTTCCTTCCCGCCCCCACCCTCCCCCACTCAGATCTATAGATGCCTGTAAGGTTTGTCTTTTTAACTCTGTGTTCTGTTTCCTATATTCCTCCTATAAGTGATATCATCTGATATTTTCTTTTTCCCTTCTATCTTACTGAGCATCATCCCTTCCAGCTCCATCCATGTTGCTGCATGAGTTTATTTATTTTTTTTTTTAAAGATTTATTTATTTATACAAGAACCAGAGTACAGGCCAGATGTGCGGGAGGGTGAAAGGACTCACTAGAGACAGAGCGGGGAACAGAACAGGCAGGCAGATTGACGAAATACACTGCTGAGGGAAGCAGGGGGCGAGACAGGAGAGGTCTGCCATGCCATGTGGGATTCTTGCCGGCTGGCCGGGATCAAACTGGTGCTGCAGAGGCTGCGGACGGTTTCACAGCGCTGTGCTCAACCCCCTGCACCACCAGGGGAGGCCCAGTTTATCTTTTTTGATTCATAAATACACCACAGCTTCTTGATCAGTCATCTGTTTATTGTAAATTGTGCTGCAGTGCCCATGGGGGTGCAGGTATCCTTTTGAATTAATGTTTTTGTGTCCTTTGGGTAGATTCCTGGGAGTGGAATTGCTGGGTCATATGGTATCTTCGTTTGTAGTGTTCTGAGGAACCTCCACACAGCTTTCCATGGTGGTTGGACCAGTTTGCCTTCCCCCAGCAGTGTAAGAGCCTCCTTTTTCTCCACCTCCTTGCCAGCATTCGTTGTTAGTTTTTTTTAGTGCAGGCCGTTCTTACTGGTGTGAGGTGGTATCTCATTGTGGTTTTGGTTTGTGTTTCCCTGATTATAAGTGATGTTGAACATTTTTTCATATGCCTGTTGGCCATTTGCATTTCTTCTTTGGAGACATGTCTGTTTAGCTCTTCTGCCCACTTTTTGACTGATTTCTTTTTCTTTTCCTTGACTTGCGTGAGCTCTTTGTAGACCTTTGATGCCAGTCCCTTACCAGTTGTCTGGAGGGCAAATATTCTCTCCCAATTTGTGGGGTGTCTCTTTATTTTGGTTAATGTCTCTCTTGCTATACAGAAGCTTTTAGTTTGATGTAGTCCCAGCTATTTTCTTCACTTTCTTGGCTTTGGAGCATGAGTCTTTAAAGATGTGAAAGCAGCTTTGATTCACGGGTGACTGACTTCTCAATGCATACTCTTCACGGGCTTCCAGAACCCGACAGCTTCATCACCGTCTCTCTGGCACAGTGTTTACTGCTCAGCGCCCCTGGCTGGGGGTTCCCATTCTCCCTGAGCATGGAATGGTAGAGTGCCCGTGGGTCAGTCATTTGTCCTCTTCTCAGCATTTATAGTCATTTCCTTGGCAGACTCACTCGCCTGGCTTTAAACGTCACTCAGATGCTCACAGTTGTCACACCTTTCTCTCCGTGCTTCAACCTCAGAGTTCAGCTGACTGCTCTAGAGCTTCACTTGAAAGTGTCATAGGCATTTCAAAAGTCAGCGCATTCATAACTGATCTCCTGCTCTTCCCAGCCAAACCTGTTCCATTTCTGATTTCCCTTGAGGTCAGCTTTATCACTCCGGGTTCTTAGGACAAATCTTGGAGTTGCCCTTGAATCCTCCTTTCTGATACTCCCTTGCCCTTCTGTTGGGAAATCCTGTGGCTCTACCTTTAGAATATATCCACAGTCTGTCCCTTTTTATTATCTTAACTGCTGTCACCTTGTTCTGTAAACTGTTTTCAGCACTCACATCTCACAGCTTTTCTTCCCTGGCCAAAGTCACAAATACCCTGGATAAGCTTTTGGTCATGGTGGATGCTGATGGCCGTGGACTGGATTGTCCTAATGCCACCCTTTATCACACCATGTCCTCATGGCTAATGGTTTGAATGAGAATGTGGGAAAACGCGTAACTGATTACGTAGGCAGGCAAGCAGTAGACTTCTTTGGACTTATTTATGGACATTCCTGTTACCCAGATAGCTCCTGTCTAGAGTAGTAGCATTGGGCTAAGTCTGATACACTAACATAGGTTTCAATTATAGGGAAGACTGCTTTCACTTCATCATCAATTTCGCCATCATGAAGTTGGAGAAAAGTGAAATTTGCAGTCGAGGTAGTGATTATGTCAGACTTTCTTCTTCATTCGTACGATTTCGCGTTAAACTGTATCCTGAGGTTTCTTAACTACTGAAAATGGGTTGTACTTCTAGGTGCTGGTGCTGACCAGGTTCTTCTTCCCTACTGCATCTTCCTGAGGTTGTGTGAGATAAATTACCTAGGAAAAAATTTCTTTGTTAATTTTTCACAAAGCTTTCGTCATCGTGCTTTTAAAAATGAATATTCATGGACATTAAAAACCACAAGCTATAGAAGATTATGCACTGCAGCTTCCCAAATTAACACCAGTGTTTCCGAAATGACAATGGGTGGTGTCGAAGAAAGAAAGAACCCTCCTTTATATCAGAGGATCCTCTGATATAAAACACTATTACGAAAAACTTTTAGAAATGGAAACAACAATAAATAAAAATAAAGCGGGATATAAATATTCTGAAAGGCCCCTGCTCCTAAAACAAGCTGCATCATTTACACTAAAACCCAGCTCTGGTTTCATGCTCACCTTGAATACCCTTCTTTAATTATTCAGAGAGCTTTGCCGGTGTTATGGTCTAGTGAGGAAGATTCTCCCACTAGTTTGTTAAAAGGTGTCAGATCAGCCCTTACTGGGTTGAAATTTAAATTTTCTCTTGCCCTTGCAATCTCTTGATTCAGTTTTGCAGTTGTCAGCAAAAGCTATGTAGCAGCCAGATCGCTTCACAAATTACTGCCTTGGATATTTTCTAAGGCTTGGTCTCCTGCTAGAGGTTGCCAAGTGTCTCTTCTCCCCTCCTGGTTGTGCACGTTGGTGCTCTGTGCACACGTGCAGGGATGTTGGTCTGAGTCATGTGCATAGGCCACGGAGTAGACTTGGTCATGTGCAGACGTGACTGGTTGGCTGACGATGGGGACCAAGGTTGGCTGACGATGGGGACCAAGGCAGTCATCCTATTTTACCTTCACAGTGTGAGAAAATTGGCTCCTAGGTATGCAGTGGGCTGCACTGCTCTCTCGGTAGAGCAGGAAGAGCCAGCTTCCTGAGCGGCTGGGAAGCGAAGGCTCCCTACCAGTAATTGAAGGGCCTGGCATAGTTTTTTGTCACGTTTGCCTGAGAGCTACGTTTGGAGGGCTGATAATTTGGGGTTTTGATTTGTATTTTAAGACCTCCCAGTTTATTTCTCAGCAACACTAGGAGTCTGTATCATCTAAGTTTGGAGAGTTGAGTACTTCACTTAGCTGAGCACCGAGATATACAAGGAGAAGAAACAGTGTGTTTCTGGTAGGAAATCAAATGCGTGGGGGATACAGGACAAGGAAGCCAGAAACCGAGCAGGGGACAGAGGAGGCGTGGTCTGAGCTTGGCACAGTTTTGTCTGTTGCCAGACTGCCCTGTGGCACAAGGGTCAGTGCTGAGAGAGGCGTGCCATGCAGACCATATTTGTTTATTACATTTTTTGCAGGCATTTGGGTGTGGGTGGGTGGAGCTTGCGGCTGTGAGTTCATATATAGCAAACAGGACCTTCCAGGGAATATTTGCTGTGAGGAACTTAGTGAATCATCAGTAAGATAACTCGGTTTCTTTTTAATATAATGTCAAGAGCAGGTGACATGACCAAAGATATGTGAAACCTTTTTCTAAATCATTTTTAATGAAATAGAAACCAGGTAATGAATAAGGGCTTCATAGTAGAAGCTGTTTAACAAAGAGAGATCAGGAAAGGCTGATGATAAGGCCTTCCTGGCAGTCATCCTCTTGCATTTCTACTTTATGTAATTAAACCATAGTGAGGGGAAAGAAAAGAAATATATGGGCTCTTTTGACTTCTAATCTGCAGAAAGGTTCCCTAGTATCTATATTGTTATGATATTGTACATTATAAAATTATTAATATCATAAAAGGGCCTGATTTTAAATGTACACACCCATGTGTTCACACATGCAATATGCGTGCATTTCTGTACACACACCATGTATGTACATTGATGCTCTCACTTCCATGTACACAGGTGTGTGCACATGCCTACTATATATGTATTTCTGCACACACATCCACACACACCTGCACACACAATGCAGTGCCTACTTGTGTGGGGCACCTAAGAGGGTTTAGCAGACATGTGAGACTCTGAAATACTCTCTAGCTCAGGAGAACTTCCCGAGTGAGTTGACAGCACAGGGGCTCTTACTTGGTTGAAGGAGGGGAACTAACGTTAGATACAAGAGTCATTTGCACAGAGGTGAAGGGTCTGTTGGAGGGGTGCCATGGGGGCTTTGTGCCATTTAGCTAAACTGGGTGTCTGCTTCCCAGAGTTCCCTTCCTGGAGAGTGCAGGCTGGGGATTGGCCACCCGAGAAACCTGAGAGATGGGAGCTGGTGGTAGAGCAGTGGGTGTTATATTTTAAAGGTCCACGTGGGAAGACCGGTGCTGTTGCATATCCCTGCGGCTTGCTCTGAGGCATCAGCAGGGCCTGTAGCTCCTGGTGCTCCTTCAGCTTCTCTGAGTCCTGGCCAGGCTGCTCGTGCATCTCAAGGCTGACGGGTTCACCTGCTGCAGGCCGACCGCCGTCAGATGTGCAGGTAACAGGGAGACTCGTTTGTCCTTGTGTGTGCCAGCTCTATTATTCTCACGCACTTGGTGTCTGTGTTGTCTTCCTGTGGCTCCATTGCTGAGTTTTCTGGAAATCAAGCCTGAGCTTAATTCCAGGGGTAACTGTATTGTAATGTAATTTGATTTCCTAACCTTGGAGGTTCTCTGTTGGCAAAGCCAGAGCGCTGTTCGGAAGGTAGTGAGCCCTGTAATTGGGATGCAAACTGGCGGACAGACTCTGGGACACTTGAGACTGCACCCAGGTGTTCCCTCAGACCTGCTTTGTCAGTAGAAAGGGCCTTCTTTTCAGGTCTGAAAAGGCCTCTCTCTTTCCAGAAGCACCTGTAGTAACATCCCCTGAGGTGCTTGCTTCCTGCCTGCCGCAAGCCTGGAGAATTCTGAAGCTGCTGGAGCAATTGCAGTGGCAGGACAGGCGGTGAGGCCAGGGCTTGGCGGATGGTCTTCTGTGCTCTGTGGGCTGCCAAGGGCCCTTTGTCGTCGCACTTGCTTGCGGCTGGGGTCAAGTTGCAAGTGTGGGGAGGGGTAGAGTTTTGGAATGAAAGTTAGATTGAAGTTCTAATGTGGACTGGTTGGGAATTTTAGTACCTGAAACAGTCACAGTTTAAGTGAAATTGTTCTTGACACAGAGAGACTGAGGCGGCTCGGGGTGTGTCCTGGAGGTTATCCTAGCCCGGGAGGGACTTGCGGCGGGTGCTGTCGGCATGGGCCCGAGGGAAAGGAGAGGCAGGGGTGTCTGCGAGCTGCTGTGCAGGGAAGGGTGTATGAAGGGTGTGGAGGAATGAAACTGCATGTGGCACCGGGAGGGGAGTAGCAGCTGCCCCGCGGGTTACGTCACGTGACGAGAACACCCAGTGTAGCGTCAGACATTCTCTCGGTCGCTTCAATAATAAAGCAAAACAATAAATCAAGCCAAACCGCAGCTCATCTAGCCAAATGATTTTTTTCTATCACAAATTTAAATAGGGTGTATAGATACAGACAATCTACAGCTTCAGGTGTTTTCAAAATTGTGTTGGAGATATTTACAAAAGATTTTTTTTTATGAGTCATCAAGGATAGGATGGCATTTTGATATAAGTGAAAGTACTTCACGCTGGCTCCTCTCCCAATACCCTGCTCCAGTGAAGAGGAGGCAGTCACAGAAGCAAGAGCGAGCATTCCGGAAGAAGGCTGTGCATGGGAGTTTTCCGGCTATTTTAACTAACGAAAGTGTTAAAACCAGTCTGTCATGTGGCAGCTTAAGAAATAGCGTGTCAGAAGATCTGTTTGCACAGCTTGCGTTCTGGTGCCCTTTCGTTTCCTGTAAATGCGTGTGGCCCGCAGACCTCCCATGAGTATTCAGGGGGTTTAGTGTCTAAGCATGTGCTAGAACCTGCAAATGTGCCCTGGCGAGGAAAAACCTCTCTCACTGCGGGCAGTGGTGCTTCAAGGGAATCCTCCTGGAAGATGAGCCATCAATTCCACTTCCTCCCTCTGTCAGCGATTAGACAAGGAAATGACATGGCTTTAAAGTGGATCAGAGAACATTCACTAAAAGCACCATCTTTGGAAAATAATATGAATTGGTTTTCTCTTCAAATCTAATTGTAAAGGATCAGAATAAGGAGGAGACTTTCTTGGAGGGAAGAAGAAAGCTGCCTTAAGAGAGTGGGCTTAGAATTTCTCACTGGTTAGGTAACTTAGTATCTGAAAGAGGCCAAGAGCAGGCCTGCGGTGTCTGGTGCAAGAGCGAGACTGGGGGGCCTCCCCTGGTGGCGCAGTGGTTGAGCGCTGGGCTGCGAAGCTGCCCGCAGCCTCTGCAGCTCTGGTTCGATCCCTGGCCACTGGCGAGGGTCCTACATGGCGCGCAGACCTCTCCTGCCGCACCCACTGCTCCCCTCAGCAGTGTGTTGCGTCAGTCTGCCTGTTCTGCTCCCCACTCTGGTGAATTCTCTCACCCTCCCGCGCTTCTGACTATACTCAGTGCTTGCATAAATAAATAAATAAATAGATTTTTTTTTTTTTTAATAGAGGCATGTTATTTATTTATTTATTTGTTTGTTTGTTTTGTTTATACATGCACTGGGTACAGCCAGAAGTGCGGGAGGGTGAGAGAATTCACCAGAGCCAGAGCGGGGAGCAGAGCAGGCAGAAGGACCGAAGTCCACTGCTGAGGGGAGCAGCGGGCGGCAGGAGAGGTCTGCGCGCCATGTGGGACCCTCCTCTGGTGGCCGGGGAGCAGCCGGGGATCGAACCGGCGCCGCAGAGGCTGTGGGCAGCTTCGCAACCCAGCGCTCAACCGCTGCGCCACCAGGGAGGCCCAATAAATAGATCTTTTAATAAAAAAAAAAAAAAAGCGAGACTGGGGAAGCAAGTGCAAGGTAGTCTGGTGGATAGAAAGAGCAGCATGGCTGGAGGGGTGTAGGCAGGGAAGGGGCGTTGGGAGTGGTGGGGTGGCAGATGACCCAGGACCTCTGGCCCAGTTGAGGAATGCAAATTATCTCTTGAGGAATGAATGCCTCTGGAAGGTTCTGAGTGGTTGCCTTACAGGAACTTAACTGTAGTCTTGAAAGGATCAGTCTGGTATCTGGGTTCAGAATAGACTGCTGATGGGACCAAGACCACTGGCACGGCTCTGGGAATGGTCGCTTCTGTGAGCAGGGTGGTTGAGGCTGGGAGGAGTCGGCGCATTGCTGAGGTAGACAGGTGAGATCTGCCGGGTATTGCACGTGGCATCTGAGGAAGAGCTATTACATCCTTCATTTTTTGTACAATGTGTGCTTTCTTATCTCCATTATAGTCCCTGTGAAATTCCCACCACCCATTCACCTGTGCACCATGACCATAGTCCCTTGTGCTCTTTCACCTTTGTTTTGATCCCGCTCCCTTCTTCCCCTCTGCACAATGTCCCTGGTTTATGGTTGCCTGTTGATTTTGATTTTTAATTTATTATAATTACTTTTTTTTTCCCTTGATACCTTATTTGGACCTTCTACGTTTCTTCCTATAAGTGAAACCATCTGGTATTTTTTTTTTTCTTTCTGACTTATCTCACTGAACATGATCCCTTCCAGCTCCATCCATGTTGCTGTGAATGGCATGACTTTATCTTTTTGATGGCCAAGTAGTATTCCATTGTGTATAGAAACCACATCTTGATCCAGTCATCTGTTTTTGGGCATTTGGGTTGTCTCCATAACTTACCTATTATGAATAGTGCTGCAGTAACATAGGGGTGCAGGTGTCCTTTTGAATTAATGTTTTTGTGTCCTTTGTCTTTGGGTTCCAGAATGTAAGATGGGTGAGTGTGGAAGTGAGGACGCTGGGGAGAGGGGATTTAACTGTGTGTGATTAGTCATGAGTTTCCGATCTTGTGGGCAGTAATGTTGGAAATGGAATGGAGGTCTGCGAGCGTGCTGCTTCATGTGCCCACGATGAGGCTGCCCTGGAGGGCATAGCACACAGGGTAAAGTCGCCGAATGAGAGGCCCAGGGTGTTGGGAGGGTCGTAGGCACTGCTGTTGATCTCTAAAAATCATGACCGAACTGTGTTGGAGAGAAAAATCCTAAGCCAGCAGCTAAAGACGTCAAGGATGCAGAGTAATAGACCCATTCATTAAAAATGATAGCACACGTGTGTCCAAGAGCGCTCAGTGAGACCTTGTCTCATAGGATGAGAAGAAAAATCAGGGCCAGTGTCAAGGACTTGATGGTCACGGCGTCCTTGCTTTTCTTTATAGTTTACCCCAATATTGTGTTTTGCACACTGCAGTGCAGCTCCACCCGCTTGTGAGCTTCACATAAGTAGTGCAGTCCATGTGAATGCTGTTGTGCCAGCTTCTCTGGCCCAGTGTTAGTATGTGAGACGCATTTATGTTGCAGCAGTTTTTTGATTTTCCTTGTTTGGGGGATGGCAGTAGTTAAGTTGTGCTCTGAACGAACTCCTCTCACAATACAGCATTGTCAGCCGTAGCCACCGGGTTACACGGCAGACCTGGAGACCTCGCTCACACGACGGCTGAGTGGGGCCGGCGTGGGTCCAGCAGCATCCGTGTGCGAAGCACACCCTCCACCCGCTGCACTGCTGATGGGGGCACGGGCTGGTCTCCAGCCTGGCTGTCGTGAGTGACCCGTTGTGGGCGTCGTGAGGCCTCCACAGGCTGTTTCGCACGTGGGGATGTTCCTGGGGGAGCTGCTGTAATGGCCTGTGCTCCGTGGTGAGTGGGTGAGACGGCTGCTCAGCCTCGTCGGCACTGCAGCCCCTCCACTCCAGAGTTGTGCCCAAGCTTGGCACTGCCATTTGACGAGATTTCCCGTATATGTTAGTGGGCGTGTGGGGAAGTCACCATGTTCATGTTGCGTTACCATTGTCTTCAGGAGAGATTGAACAGGTGCATCGTGTGGTCTCGAGAATTTTCTCTAAGGATTGTTTGACTTTCCCTTTTCATTGTCAGAAGTTTTTAAAAAGCGTAGACTCATGGGGCCTCCCTGGTGGTGCAGGCGGTTGAGTGCCGCACTGTGAAGCTGCCCGCAGCCTCTGCAGCGCTGGTTCGATCCCGGCCGACTGGTGAGAATTCCACATGGCATGCAGACCTCTCCTGTCTCGCCCGCTGCTCCCCTCAGCGGTGTGTTTCAGTCATTCTGCCTGTTCTGTTTCCCGCTCTGTCTCTGGTGAATCCTCTCACCCTCCCCTGCCTCTGGCCTGTACCCCGGCTCTTGTATAAATAAATAAATGTTAAAAAAAAGTGTAGACTCAAGAAATGAGTCCTCTTTTGGTTCTGTGTAGTGCCTTTTCTGCGGCTTGCCTTTCCACAGTCAGTGCTAACTTCAATGTAGTCAGTTTATATATATATTTTTAAAGATTTATTTATTTATTTATACAAGCACTGGGTACAGTCAGAAGCGCAGGAGGGTGAGAGAATTCACCAGAGCCAGAGCGGGGAGCAGAGCAGGCAGAAGGACCGAAGGACACTGCTGAGGGGAGCAGCGGGCGGCAGGAGAGGTCTGCGCGCCATGTGGGACCCTCCTCCGGTGGCCGGGGAGCAGCCGGGGATCGAACCGGCGCTGCAGAGGCTGCGGGCAGCTTCGCAACCCAGCGCTCAACCGCTGCGCCACCCAGGAGGCCCTCATTGGTGTTTTTTGTGTGTTTTAAGCTTTTTTATCCTTCCTGTTTCAGAAGTTTTCCTGAACATGTAGATATTCTCATTAATTCTTAGAGGTTTCACTGTCCTTTTGTCTTTCACATTTAGCAGTATGATTTGCCTGCAAGTGATTTTGTGTTTGCCAAGAGGTAAAGGTCTGGTTTCATTTTTGCTAGTTACCATAGAGCCAGCTGATTGTTCAGCACCATTTTTGGAGAACGGTACCCTTTCTCCACTCTTCTGTGGTGGCATGTGTGCAGTAATCGCACACCCAGGTGTGCAGAAGTTAGGTGCTGTGCTTTCACCGTGGGTTTGGAGCTGCTCTTTTTCTGATTTCACGCCAGACCTTGCTGGCTTCATGCCTGTTCGCAGTCACGCCGGACACCCCACGGCGCAGGCCCCGCCTCTGCTCCCCGATGTCAGCTCACGCCTTGCTGGGCTTAGCTCTGACGTGTTTGCACTGGTTTGTCACATTACACACACACACACACACACACACACACACTACATTGGAACTTTTATTAGGATTGATTAAATCTATAGATCAAGTTGGGGAGATGTGACATCTTTATGATACTGCTCCTTTAATTCACATCCAAGGCATATTTTCCCATGTATTAAATCATTGATTTCTTTCAATAACATAATTTTCTGCATCGAGAGCGCCCACATATTTTGTTAGACCTGTGCTGTACATGAACAACTGCCCTGGGTCGTCTGTGTGTGGGGCGTCACGGGGCTCCCTCTGGGGCTAAAGCTCTGGCTTTCTTAGCTGCCGGGAGTGTGAGGAGCTCACCTTCTCAGCTGAATCTCCTTGGAACTTCCCTTCGCTGAGGAAAGCCCCCTGGCCTGAGTCACCCTCCCTTCTGGGGGCAGCTAGCATTCCACAATTACTTAGCCTGGAGTGTGAGTCTGGTGGTCCCCAAAATCAGACGCAGATGTTTCTCTGTTCGCCATCCCCGCAGTGTGACAGTTAGCCCCCAGGCGCCGTGTTTAAAGCAACAGCCTCTGTTATCTCGCCGCCTCTGGGTCCGGGGAGGCCTGGGCATGGCCTCTGGCTCTGGGACCCCATGAACCTTGCCTGGGAGGAGCCACGTTAGGCTCACTTGGTTGTCGGCAAGATTCAGGTCCTTGCAGCCGGTTGGATTGAGGACTTGGCAGCTCATCACCTCTGGGCCCCAAAATACTCTGTGAGCCTCTGCGCGGCCCAGCCCACACGACAGCTGGCCCCGTCATAGCGCCAGCGAGCCCCAGGGGAAAGCTGCCAGTGCTGCCAGACCGCCCCCCGTTCTGCTCTCTGGAAGGCAGTCACTTGGCCCAGCCCACACCCAAGGGGGAGGGCTCGCCCGGGTGTGGGCACCAGGAGGAGGGTTTGTTGAGGATCCTCCTACAAACCTCCTAACACAGTTCACTTTCCTATTTTCTGGGAAATTTGTCAGATTTGTATTATTTCTACTTGTGTATATCAAGCCGTCTGGTACAAGAGATCATGACTTGAATTTTTTTTTTTTTTTTGATGAAGGGAAGATTTTTGGATTCAACTGTTTAATAGTTAATGGAATATTATATTCTTTTTTGGTATTGGTAAATTTCATTTTTCAAGAAGATGACCTCTCCTTTTGTTGTTAAATTTATTAGCCTAATGTTGTTCATGCCTTTTAAAATGTGGCCTGCAGGAGTCGTAGCAATGTCTGCTTTTTCGTTTTGCACACTGCTTGTGTCTTCTTCCTTTTTCCCTTGATTGGCCTCACAAGTTTGAACTTTATATTTTCCAAAGAACCAGTTCCTGACCACACTGACCTGTATTTTCTCCTTTTCTGTTTTTAATTCGTGCTGTCTCCTGTGTTCATGTGATGCTCCCTTTAGTCTCTCCAAGCTCCTGTAGGGTTATGTTGTAGATATCTTTCATAAATACCGTCTAACGGAGGTATTTTACAAAAATTTGGGTTTGAATCTACACCTCTGTCACTCATGCTTTTATTTGCCATTTTTGGTAAGACAGGCTTAAAAAGTCAGGTTTATAGCCTGACTTTATATGACAAAATGGCACACTGTGAGAGGCAGAGATTTTTGACAAATGAGTACGTGCGCGCAAGCCCAGGATGCGGATGCACAGCACTCCCCTCGCGCCCAGACCACGTGGGCTTTGGTGGCTACAAAGCTCATGTCCAACATTACTGTGAAATGTATGACTCATCTTAGGATTCTCTCTCCCCAGACGGAAGAGTAGCTCTTGAAATCCTTATTTCCGAACGTTTTATCAGATTCGTGGCTGAGCTCCCGTGTCACACTTGTTCTGTGCTCTAGCGCTGAGTACATCAAACCAGATCCGCTCGTTGGCCGGACGGTCACGGCCACCGTTACGTGCGGCGCTCTGACTGGGCCTGCACTCCGGTAGGAGACAGGCGCTGGAGGCTGGGATGCGGCTCGCGGTCCCTAAGGGCGCGTGACTGGTGGGCCGCACCTAAGCAGCCGGTCACCGTTTCTGTCGGCCTTTTCCAGAACAGACGCTGAACCTGCTTCAACAATGCACACACTGTGACGGTGGAACATGGAGCCCTCAGAACCCGCCGGCCCCCTTGGTGTTCCAGCAGACACGGCGCAGCGTGCGTGAGCGCCGAGATGGTGGCGGCCGCTGTCTGTGCTCGAAGCCCGAGACCGCCCACTCTGGAGTGGTGAGTCACATCAGGGATTTGGAAATTTGGTGCTGTTTCCTATTCAGTGTCACAAGTCATTAATCTTACTGCTTTCGGCAAATCTTAGTCATATGGTATCTGCTGAGATCTTTTGCTACTATTTGATAATTTGTCCTGATTAGATTGCTAAGTGAACCTTACTTAGTTAGTCATGCAGAGACAGTGTCCTGGGAGGGGAAGTAAGTTTATAACATACGTGTGTGTATCGGGGGGGGGGGGGGGCATAAGATGAAGTTGCTTTTATTGATTTTTATTTTATTTTTTTAAGTTTTTTTTTTTTTATAGAGGCATGTTTTATTTATTTATTTGTTTGTTTTGTTTGTTTGTTTATACATGCACTGGGCACAGTCAGAAGCGCGGGAGGGTGAGAGAATTCACCAGAGCCAGAGCGGGGAGCAGAACAGGCAGACTGATGAAGTACACTGCTGAGGGGAGCAGCGGGCGGCAGGAGAGGTCTGCGCGCCGTGCGGGACCCTCCTCCGGTGTCTGGGGAGCAGCCGGGGATTGAACCGGCGCCGCAGAGGCTGTGGGCAGCTTCGCAACCCAGCGCTCAACCGCTGCGCCACCGGAGAGGCCCTTTTATTGATTTTTAAATGTGTTATGCAAATGCTATGTGGGTTAGAACCATGGAACTTGATCATAATCCTGATTATTTGGTCAGCTTTCACAATATGTAGGGAAAGTCTGGGACTAGAAATGGTCTCATCTCCTTCTTGCCTGCTAGGTTCCTGGTCTGACTTATCTGGGCATCTACCTACTACTCGGAGGGTGGAGTGGGCGGTGGGGAGAGATGATAATGTGTTAGGGAAGGATCGCCCGAGAAGAGCCAAGAGGATGTCCCTCCGTGATTCCAGCACCAGGCTGTCGTGCAGCAGGGCCACGGTGCCTGGAGGGGCCTGTGCAAATGCCCTGTTCTCTGCTGAGCTGGCCCGCACGTGCATGGGGGTTTGGTTCATGGGGTGTGCTGGGCGCAGAGGATGTAATGGCCTGCCCTTGGGGATTGGCTGGAGTCTGAAAGAGTATGTGGGTGAGACAGACATAAATCCTTTTTTCCTATGAGGAAATTTGTGAGAAGGAAAAGAAGCGCTCACTGCACGAATACCTCCCTTGATTGGGTTGTTACGAGGATGTGTGTGTATAACGCGTGTGACTCCTCACGGGCCTCAAGGGAGGTGAGTACCTTGTGCTGTGTGCCGCCTGGAGACTGCCTTGGGCTAGAGGCAGAGAGGGCTGCTCCTTTGCCCACCTCTGCTGCTTGGGCTTAGGAGTCCCCTGGGAGCCTCACTGTGCTCTGGCTTCAGGCCTGGTTGGCGCAGTGTGACTGCACAGTATAGTCAGAAGAAGGTTCGTCTCATTGGTGGCTCCCGAGCTGCCCTCTGGTGCCACAGACAAATGAAGGCGAGGCCCTGTCGGTGATTCTTAGGCAGAGGGTGGACCGGGACTCCCAGGCCCAAAGACTGGAGTGGATGGGGCTGTCGTCTGGCCAGTGGGGCAGTGAGGGGGCATGGCTACCAGGGTGACTGCTTGGTGCTGCCCAGCCACGGTAGACCAGACCCCATCCCACTGCCGGGGAGCAAGTTGTGCACAGCGCCCAGGGGCCAGGGCTCTGCCTCCACAGCTGGGGAGCAGGGGCAGTCCCCGAGTTCTGCTTCACTCTCCTAGGGGACTCGAAGCCCCCCAGCAGCACACCCTGCACCTCACCAGAGGGAGGTGCAGGGCAGCAAGGGCCCCGCAGGACCGACTGACTGTTTTGAAAGACTGAGAATTTCTGTAGAAGTCAGCACTGTCAGGTGGGGTGAAGTTTGAGCTTAATTTAATTCGATTTCCAGTTGACCTTGTGTGTCTGTGCTGGGGGGGCAGATTAATTATAGAGGACTATAAAGAACTTTTACTTCTTGTCATCTCTGAGTTAGTGGGAGTTAAACTTGGTATAAAATTTGGCTAATCATAAAAAAAAAAATCACGAAAAACATTGTTTTCAAATGGGTAGGCAATGAAAAAAGCACATGTGAAAAAAATGAGAAAAATTGAAGGGGAGATGGAATCACTGAAGGAGGCCAACAGGGTGGTGGCAACCGTATTGCAGGCAGCCAGCTGCATGAGAACTAATTTCACGCAGAAGCATTCGTAAGGCTTTTACTGCCAGGGCTCTCCAGCTGTTCTAGAAGTGTATATGGTTGTAAAGGAAAAAAACCCAAAAATATGTAAATACTGTGAGTAGGAGGGCAAATGGAAATTACAGGGCGAGAACAGCAGTTCAGAGTCTCGCTAGGTGTTCTGGGACCGCCCACACCTCTGTCAGGGGCCCCGTGTTTCCCCTGCGCTCTGTGTGGCTGGGCCCCGGGCGGGCGGGGGCCGGGGGGTCTCTGCCCCTCTGCTGTCGCCCTTGCCCGACTGCCCTGCTCTGTTTGCTCCCTCACTTGCTCTCTCTCGGGCCGTTGTGGAGGCTTCCTGATGGACGTCACCTCTGCGAACACGCTCCCTCCGCTCACCCTGTCCGCATTCGTCGCACTCGGCGTGGTTTTCACCGTGTTACTGCCTGCACGCAGACGCCTCCCTCTGGCTCCTGAGTTGGAGGAAAAACTCCTCTTTCCACATGCCAGTGCTTCCCCACGCACAGCAGCTCTGCTTCCGCTCCTGGAAGTGTCAGCTCCTTTGCTTCTAGAAGGTTCTTAGTCTTGACCATTCAGTAATCACATACCATAGATAACTGGATCAAAGAAAGCTTTGGAGACCAACCAACCATGTGGTAAGGTTGATGGAGGCAAGTGGGACCTTGGAAGAAGAATCATTTATTAGAGGGAGGTATCTTGGAGCTCATAGAACAGAGGCCTAATTAGAGCCCCGCTCCCTGGGAAGGCTACCACAGCGGCCTGCGCAGTGACCGGCTATCCGTACCTGTCTGTCTGTCTCACCTGTCGTCATCTGCCTCTTTGCAGTTGTAGGAGTGTCTTTTTTTAAGAAAGATTTATTTTTATGTATATATGCGTATAAAGCTGGGATGCAGGCCAGAGGTACGGGGCGGGGGGTGGGGGTGATGAGAGGATTCACCAGAGACAGTGGGGAGCAGAAGAGGCGGATCCACTGAAACACACTGCCGAGGGGAGCAGCCGGGAGATAGGTCTGCTGTGCCATGTGGGTCAGCGCCCTGGCTGGGGAATCACACTCAGGCCACAGTGGCTATGGATAGTTTGATACCACTGAGAGTTAACCCCTGTGCCACCAGGGAGGCCCAAATACCTAACTGAAGTGTCTTCTATAGACTAAAATCCATCAATGAATACCTAATATTGATCAGTTTTATTCTGTGAAAGACCCTTCAGGGCCTCCCTGGTAGTGCAGGGGTTAAGCTCCCTGGCCGGGGATCGCACTCAGGCTGCAGCAGACCTCTCCTGTCTCCCCGCTGCTCCCCTTAGCAGTTTGTCAGTCTACCTGTTGTGCTCCCACTCTGTCTCTGGTGAATCCTCTCACCCCCGCACCTATGGCCTACACCCCAGTTCTTGTATGCATAAATAAATAAAATAAATCTTAAAAAATATTAGGTTTTCAGGGCAGTGCTTTTTAATAAGTGAACCCATCCATGTAACTAAAATGGGGACAAAAATACTGGCCTCACAGGGTAGATCTGAGGAATAATTTTGTGAGTATAAGTGTCTAATAAGTAGAGCCGGTAGCTACAGGTGCTCAGCAGGCTGTCTCAGCCCTCAGAGCCCTAGCTGGTGGCGGGCTGCTTGCTCCCGCTAGCTCCGGGTGCTGTCCTGGCATGCGTTTTCATGGTGCCCTCTTGTGACTCAGTAGGTCTTATTTTCGGGTAAGTTTCCTGGGCATGCATCTAGTTCTTCGCTCGCCCTCAGTAATGTGATTCCCAAATTTTAACTGGACATGGGGACGACCAGAAATAAAAGACCGCTTTTACATTTTCCTTTGCAGCCAGCTCGCTGGTCACCAGGCTCGCCCTTCTGCCAATGGTCTGTGAGTAGAGCCCCGGGGGGCTCCTGTGGCGCGTCCTTGTAGGTAAAAGGGTGCTCAGCCCTGCCCCCGTGGGGGCTGGCCGGCATCTTATGCCAGCAGTGGCCGCAGAATGGACGCAGCTGATTGAGTCTACGCGGGAGAGAGAGAAACTTCTATTTGTTTTCAGAAATTCGTTTTGTCCTTTTTGTCACTCACAATTCAGACAGCCTATTTGTAGTGAATACATGCACCCTTTCTCGATGCCCCTCTCTCGTCTGAACCCCTGACATGCCTAGTGTTTCAAGGGCGAAGAACCTCAAAAGTCAGTGCCACTAGGAGATACCCCCTTTTATTGTTGGTGAAATGTAGTAAAAGGTGCCTATCCTTTACCATGTTTCTGTTCTTCCAGTAACTTCCCAGTTTGTGGAGATGTTGTTGACGCTTTGACCACGGCTGGGGCCGCGCACCGAGGCAGCATCTGCTTGGGGCTGAGAGCAGGGTCTCCACGGAGAGGCTGCACCCGCCGCCCTCGGTCTAGTGCTCGGCCCCTTCCCTCATCCTCCAGCAAACCAGCCCTTCAGGTCTGTGGTCAAGGTTACTGTCTCAGACACAAGGTTCCTTTCCCTCTTTTCTTGCTCTTTTGATCAGGGACGTGTGCAGGGAAGTGCAGTTAGGCTCGTGGGTTGAGTGATTGGTTCATTCATTGAGATAATGTTCACAGGACATTGCATTTCCGTCATCGCACAGATGAAATAAAGGTCCTCTGTCCTTATTGTCAATTATTTTAAACTGACGTGGAGAAGGTTGCCTACAATTTTAAGCCTGTTGGCATTTCCTAGTCAGTACGTTTCATAGTTTCAGGAGACCCAGTGAGTAGTGCGCGGCCCCTTTTGCAGTTTCAGTGAGTTCAGAGGACTGACTAGTCAGGCAGGAGGGAAACAGAGGAATCCACACTCTCACACAGCTAGAGCCGCTCCCCACTGCAGAGAAATCTGCCGCAGCCTGACTCTGGAGGGCTTGGCCAGAGC